CAAGATAACTTAAGAGCAAATTTTCTCAATACTCATATGAAAATATTTATGGAAGTTATTTTTTTTACTCTTTGTTGAACTTGAGTTTTTAATACCAACCATTTTTAAATGTATTTAATGAGCATAATAATAATATTGATTTGATCATCACATACTGTACACAAATACTGATAGTCAACTCTGTACCCCATAAAAATGTGTGATCAATTATATTTCAATTAAAAAATAAATCTTAAAAAAATGAAAATCTTGATATGTCAAGTACACAAGGCAAAACCTTAGCAATTTGTAGTTATATTAGAATTATCTACATTTTGTTTTCAGAACAAACCTGCTTACAAATAGGAGTGGCAAAAAAAATCATGTTTATTTAATCATTTAAAGAAAGGTTTATACTTCTGCCCCAGGTATAGGTAGTCTGTGGTCTGGTATGCTATTTAATAGTGCTCCAGTAACCTCTCACTTGGTGTGCTGGTGCCTTCTCTGACTTTCTAGATTTCTCTGTCTTCTGCATCTTTTTCTCTTTAACCTATTCCTGTTATATTCCTTTCTTTTTCTCTCTCTCCATTTTTTCTTTTGTCTAGCTCAGACCTCAGATCTTCCCATGTACCTTTAGTATCTACAGATCCTATTAAAATGCTCTGAGTTAAATAAATTTTGGAATCCTTACTATCATTTAATTTTGTTCAATATTTCCTCAAAAGTAAAATTTCTTTTTTTTTTTTTCCTTTTTGTCTTTTTTCGTGTCCGGCAACGGATCGCAACCCTCAGTGTCGTGCCCGTACCGGGCTGGGACCGGCAACGGGATCGCAAACCTCGGTGTTGCTCCCACACCGGGCTCAGCCAGTGAGCGGGAACCAGTCTGTATGTGGGATCCGAACCCTTGGCGGGAGCGCCACCGTGCTCCCAAGAGGCGCACTGTAGCAGTGCGCCACTGGGCCAGCCCCAAAGTAAAATTTCTAAATTTCTACGTGTAGCTAATTTCAGTGAATATGAAAGCACTGTCCTGCCATCTGCCAACGTTAAGTACGTGTCATGCTTGTGTGTAACAAATGGAGCCAAAGTGCAGCACCAGAAAATTGAGACGAACTCAATTTTTGAGAAGAACATCTTGCCGTCTTATATTCCCCAATTTTCTGTGTAGTGCCTTTTTTTTAACTTTTTTCTCAAACCTTATTTTACTTAACAAATTTGCGCTTTAAATTTTATCTATGGGAAGAACTTACTTCCTTTAGCCCTGCAATTATATATCATTTGAACCTACTGACTAATTATCAAATTGAGCTCTTAGAAAGAGATAAAATNTTATATATCATTTGAACCTACTGACTAATTATCAAATTGAGCTCTTAGAAAGAGATAAAATAAGTAGTTATCAATTTGATGTATTTATTTCATTTTCTTCATGCACCACAGATGTCTTATTCTTTAAAATGTATAGCAACAAACCTACTGATTGAACTAAAATAAAAAAATTTGTCATATTTTTTCCAGATAAACTTTGCAAGGTTTTGTACCCATGAAAATTGTTCTGCTGATCTACAGGTTTCTGCAAAAATTGGATTTTTGAAGTAAGTATAGAATGTTCTCTGTTGTTCATCAAAAGGGGTAATGTGTGCAGACATATGGGTACTAAAAAAGAAAAGGACTAAGAACTAACCCTTAGGAGCTAGCAGCATTTAGAGAACTGGAAGAGAACAATGTTCTACGGAGACATATTAAATGATTTATACTTCACTCAAAATAAGTATACATTCAAGTATTACCACTTCTCAAAGAATGAGAATATATAAGCACAAAGACTTTATGAAACATGTTTTAATCCTTTATTGATAATGAGAAAGATATTTCAGGATTTAATTGTGCCCTGGTTAATCATTATTATAATTGTAGTAATCTTTTAGATATTTTTAAGTGACTATTAATAGAGTTTTGGTGGCAAAATGAGCTTTCATTACACAATGCTTAGTTTTTTATCACCCAGAAAACTGGTTATATCATTCAGACTGATATACAAAGTAATCCATATATGACAAATTTTGAAAGGGAATAATCCATCATCTTGCTCTTCTAAATTCACAGAAAGGGAAACAGCAAAAAGAAAATATATGTGATATGCTAGAATAGTATCTAACACATAGTGAAAACTAGATAAATACTGGTGGTCGTGGTGATTTTATGATGGGAAATAAACCACTGCAATTTTGTATCACATTTAGATCCCCTATATTCAAAATGTTTTGCATATCAGAGGGAAGATGTGAAAATGAGCAGAAGGAGAGAATCCACACTTGATGTTGAGGGTTGATTGCATATGGGAAGTGAAAGAGGGGAAGGGGATGCATCATCGATGGCAGGAAAATGGCGAACTATTTTCAGGAGGCTGGAATGTAAAGGAAGCAAGTTTAATTTGGAGTATGTTGCATTTGGTGGGACTTTGTAGGCAGTGTTCCACTTGAAACACT